TTGTTGTTGCCCTCTCTGCTTTTGTTCTTTTTATTTATGTGTAAATTTAATGACGGTTTTTCTTTTCTCTCTCTCATTTTGCTTTGCCTATGCTGATGGCATCTAGGGTTGTTGCTTTGTCTCCTTGATTACACTCAGGATTAAAGAGGTCTTCTTCTCTGTGGGGAGGCAGCCTGCCAACTGGGAAGGTTTTAGCGTGTTTTCCATTCCTGGCTCTTTGATCTTTATAGGCATACTTCTCCGTCTTCCCACCACCCGGATTCATAGTGTGAATTCCTGCCCGGCCCTGAGTCATACCCAGGCAAGTGCTTTCTCTGGAGAAACACTTGCAGTCCTTTCAGCAGGAATCTCCAAGAGATGGCCCAAGTATCGGCTTCCCATCGATATTGCTCATCCCCGCTCGGAAACTCCTTTTCCACGATTATAAGATATTACATTTGATTGATGGAATAGATGCTCCCAGGATGCCACCACTTTGTAAAATTGCAGCTCCTCAAAAGACCTTTGTTAAATTTCTAAAGGGCCAAGGAAACTCTCCGTTGCCACCAGATGCATTTTGTATCCTGAATTTTGAGTTCATTCAGAAGCCATGGTTGGTGGTCATCTACTTGTGTTCTGAGAAACCACAAAGTTCAACTGCAGCTCTTCAGTTATTATGTTTTCATTTTATTTTAGAATGTCGAACGTTTGTTGCGTGCCCCTCCTTTTCTCTAGTGAACAGGACCTGCTCCTTCTGATGCTTAACTCTCTTGTGACCCCTGGGCTTTCTTTATATTTAACATTCTAGTCTTCTTTTAAGTCCCTGTGGCCACCTCCAAGGTCCTGACTTTGTCCCCTTTATTATTTGTTGCCAAACAAGATTGATACATTTATATAACCTTTTCTGATTAAGTGTTCCTTACCTGTCCTTGGTGGAGGGGAGATGGGAAGGCAAAAGAGTTCAGTTTCTTTATTTCAGGGCATCAGATTGAATGTATATTTAACAATTTTGTATACTGTAAAGTGATATGTAATTGCAAGATACTATAACTTTTCTCTAATAATTACATAATTTCCAATAGTTAACCTGTCTACTTTTTGGAGTAAAGAAACTTCTTAGCTTAGTCAGCCTAATAGCACAGCATGCTAGTTAACTGAATTTCGTTCCATTTTCTCACATCTCTTCATACACACAGGACACACATGCATACTTATACACATACTGGGCACAAATACACACAAGAAATCCTCGTATTCAATTCGCTCTTGTGATAGGAGCCTCTCCTTAGTAATTATTTTCTACAGTCCTTGGGAAGACCTTTCATATTTGTGGGTTCAGCAAATTCCATGTGCATTTTAAAGTTATACATTTAATTAACTTAGCTTAATGTTGATGTTATAAAATAAGGACTCTTATAATTCAGTCCCTGACTTAGCAGCCTGTTCACATCTTTTTTCCCATGGCAGTAGCTCTGAGGTGTATTTGTCACAGACATCAGAACTTTGGTCCTTTGGTTAAGTGCTTTGACTATATTCTAGTAAATATACAGAGTATGGCCCTCGCTGGTTTGGCTCAGTGGATAGAGCATTGGCTTACAGACTAAAGGGTCCCGTGTTTGATTCCCATCAAGGGCACATACCTTGGTTGCAGGCTCCTCCCTGGCCCGGGCCCTGGTAGGGGTGCATGAGGGAGACAACCAATGTTTCTCTCACATCAGTGTTTCTCTCTGTCTTTCCCTCTCTTTTCCACTCTTTCTAAAAGATCAATGGAAAAATATCCTCGGGTGAGAATTAACAAAAACAAATAAACAAAACAAAAAAATATAGAGTATGAATAGTTGAGTAAAAGAGCGAAAAAGTTTGTAAAAACATAGTTTTTATTACCAAATCTAAAAAGAAGCATACTCTATTAACAATGTATGAATTACTGGCTTGAGGATCATACCCAAAGGAATGTTATATATGACTTAGTGCTTAAAATTAAGATTAAGTACTGGAAATTAAGACTGGGAAAGAGGCCTGGATTGCATTGCAAATGGGATAGAGTGGCGGGTGCCTGATTAGATGACATGTTTATCAGAATTCTAGTTCATGATAAGTGAGTTGATAAATCAGGAATGTTTGGCACATAGCCCCTAACTTTTTGAAGTTAATGTCCTCGGGACAAAAATGATTTTGTATAGAATGTTTTTATTGCCACAGCTATATACTATTTCTTAAGCAACCAATAGGTTCCTAGATAATCCTATCTAATAATAGACAAACATGGTAATTGGCCGTACCTTCGCTACGCCTCACATAGGCTAATCAGCGGGATATGCAAATGAACCGCCAACAAAGATGGCGGTTAATTTGCATACGTAGGCCTGAAGCGAAGACTGAAGGTGGCTTCGGCTGGAGCAGCGAAGGCTTGAAGGCGGCTCTGGCCGGAGCAGCGAAGACTGAAGGCGGCTCTGGCCGGAGCGAAGGCCTAGGTCCTGGGTGCCGGAGGAAAACCGGTGCCAGCAGCCAGGGGAAGGGAAGGCCTATTGCACGAATCTTTTCGTGCAACAGGCCTCTAGTGTGTGTGTGTGTGTGTGTGTGTGTGTGTGTGTGTATTTTAATCCTTACTATAACCCTGTGAGCAGATATTACTCTATTTCATACCTGAGGAAGCTGAGATTCAGAGAAATTAGTAATTCACGTAATTTGGAATCAAAACTGACTATGAAACCCATGCTCTTTTTCACTATTTTGTGTCTTAAAGCAATTAGTTAAACCACATATGGTGTTTTTTATATTTTCATGGCTGTACTCTAATGACAATGAAAAATGGCTATGATAAATTGGATAGGCACGTTTGTATAGTTTGGGAACAGAAAGGACACATTCAAGACGTAAAATTGTCTAGGAATATATTCCATTATAAGTATACTAGAGGCCCGATGCATGAAATTCTTGCAAGAGTAGCCCTTCTTTCTCCTGGCTGCCACCACCGGCTTCCCTCTGGCACCTGGGACCCAGGCTTCCCTTGCAGCAGCCCCGGCTTTGTCTGGAAGGTTGTCCAACATCCGGTCTAATGAGCATATTAAACTTTTATTATTATAGAAGATACACAAGAACAATATTGCTAAGGAGAGATTTTATTTGTGTATTTTTTAAGGATCAGGAAGAAAGACATGAAGCTTCCAAATGGCTAAATCTTAGGCAGGAAACCAAATAATGAGGTATATTTTATTGTTTTGCTTTATCCCTTAACCTTTTAATTCTGAGGTATATTTTAAATGTTACTTTAAAAAACCAGATTAAATAAAAATAAATCGAATTAAGAAATGGCTTTGGTTTAAATTTAAAAATTAAAAGATTTTAATAAAAAATTAAGTTATTTTATTTTTCTAAAATATATTTTTATTGGTTTCAGAGAGGAAGAGAGAGGGAGAGAGAGAGAGAGAAACAATGATGAGAATCATTGATCAGCTGCCTCCTGCATGTCCCCCACTGGGGATCGAGCCCACAACCCAGGCATGTGCCTTGACCAAGAATCAAACCGTGACCTTCTGGTTCATAGGTCAGTGCTCAACCACTGAGCCACACCAGCCAGGCAAAAATTAAGTAATTTTAGATTAGAGGCTTGAGCTACAAAAAAAATCTAAGCAAATGCTATTTTTGAGAGCATAGAGTTTTGACTTAAATTTAGGAAAAGGCATTTATTTATTTATTATTATTGATTTTAGAGAGCGAAAGGGGGTGGGGGGGGGGAGAGAGAGAGAGAGAGAGAGAGAGAGAGGGAGAGAAAGAAAAAGAGAGAAGGAAAGAGAAACATTGATTTGTTGTTTCACTTATCTATGCATTCATTGGTTGCATCTTCTATGTGCCCTGACTGGAGATTGAATTTGCAAGCTTGGCATATCCGGACCACACTCTGAGTTACCTGCCAGGGCAGGAAAAGACATTTAGACCAATGGCAGGAAAACCTGTCTCAATGCTTTCTGAGACCCTTAGTGTGGTAGAGTAGAGAGAATATAAACTGTGGAATTAAACTTGTGTTCCAGTTATCAGCTGTGATACATTGAGCAAATATTTAAACTCACACTCATTTTCTTCATCTATAAAACATGAAAAATAGCCCTGACCGGTTTGGTTCAATGGATAGAGAGTCGGCCTGTGGACTCAAGGGTCCCAGGTTCGATTCCGGTCAAGGGCATGTACCTTGGTTGTGGGAACATACCCAGTGGGGAGTGTGCAGGAGGCACCTGATCGATGTCTCTCTCTCATCGATGTTTCTGACTATCCTTCTCCCTTCCTCTCTGTAAGAAATCAATAAAATATATTAAAAAAACACACACACACACATGAAAAATAGTGTCTCCCTTTTGGTTTGTACCAAGGATTAAGTTAGATTATGTTTATAAGTACCTGGCTCATGGTAGTTACTCAAATGTTTGTTTGAAAAGGACGAGTGATATGAGCTATAGACCAATTTTTTTAATACAAATAAAAATTTTAGGAGAGTTCAAATTATTTCTTTATAAGTTCAATTTCCTCAAATTGAATATTGCTCTGACTGTGCCTAGAGTTTGGATTTTTATTATAAAGAGATTTTTTATTTCTTTGGCACTAAAGATCTCTTAGATCCCTTTTAATGAAAACATTCATGATTCCAAGTCTTTTGGATCCTGGTTCTCCAATCACTATTTCTGTTCTTTTATTATGTTTACTATTTATTCCATTATCAACATATTGGTTTTCTGTTCTCTTTCTATACATATTTTGGAGGAAGGAATGGGTTTCATTCACAATCATTTTTTTACTGGTGGATTATTTAAAAGCCAGGTTCTGAAATAAGACTGGGTTTATGTCCTATCAGTGGTTCTCAACCTTCCTAATGCCGCGACCCTTTAATACAGTTCCTCATGTTGTGGTGACCCCCAACCATAAAATTATTTTCGTTGCTACTTCATAACTGTAATGTTGCTACTGTTATGAATCGTAATGTAAATATCTGATATGCAAGATGTATTTTCATTGTTCGCGACCCACAGGTTGAGAACCGCTGGAACCACTTGTGGCCTTGGGCAAGTTAATTAACCTTTCTGAAGCTTAGTTTTCCTATTTGTAAAATGGGTATAATAATAGTGACTACCTCATAAAGGTATGGTGACTATTAAGTGAGTGCAAGCTTGTATAGCTCATGGGTATGGTACTTTGTACCTACCACCTACTTAGTAAATCATAGCTTAATATTTTGATGATACAGGTGACTTTAAGTCTATATCATGAACTCTGTTTTCTTCTGAACTTCAGTCTTGTATATCTAATTGCCTGTTAAGCATTTATATTTTTCTACATTACCTTAAACACAAGTCCAAAATCAAACCTCTCATTCCACATCGAGATGATCTTTTTTGTTGTGCATATGTGATTTAAGTGTAGATATAAAGAACCAAAATTTCAGTTGTCAAATACTTAGAAATATCTTAATAAATATCTCAAAAGTAGAAGTTGCAAATTATGTTATCAGAATTCTGAACAGAATAGTTGCTGCTTCATACCACACTAACTTTTTTTTAACTTGCAAAACTATTTCATTTGACATGGAGGACCTTAACTAAATACATGTCCAAAAGAACTCTATTAATGCCCAGTAGGAATTTAGAAACACAGTAAATAAAAGACATTTATATCTTTTTTATATTTGTTCTGATCTCTCTGCTCTTAGACTCTCACACAGAATCCCAAGAGGGCAACTGTTAGTTTATATTTTCTAAGTCTAATGCCCTTTTAAAAACATTGGTTATTTGTTGTATGTTGATACTTGGACACAAAATTGGCACTCAGTGAGTAGCTTTTAAGTAAAGGAATCAAAGGAAATGCAAGATACAAGCTACATGGTCCCTGCAAGATACAAGCTACATGATCCCTGCAATCAGGTAGGGATGATGATACCTGAAACCAAGTAAAAAATCTGTAAATTTCATTATATAGTGACATATCAGGATAAGAGGAACAAATAAATTTTGTAGACATTCAGTAAGTGAAGAGAAAGGCTTTTGGAGATGAGAGGCTTGAGCTAAGACCTTGTATGTGTGCTACTAGAAGCTTTCTGGGCTGAACATGTGTAAAATGTCCCATTGATACTATAATAGTTCTGGCCCTTCAGAAGCAGACTGCCTCTTACTTTCACTTTAAAAGAGTTTAGATCCTAGCAGTCCATTATGCAAGCCGGAGAAAGACCATTTTATGTGAAGATGCACTTTTATTGCACTTTCCTCACTATATATTATAATTATTTGTTTATACCTGTCTCTGCAGTTAGGAGTATAAGGTCTTTGAGAGAATGGGCCTTATTGGCTTGAGCCTTTTATCCCTGACATACTTTGGATAGAGAGGGCATCCCATAAATGTTTGTTTAATAAACAAGAGTGTAAGCTCCTAATGGGTGAGAATGTGTCATATTATTCTGTGTTTCCTTATTTGAATTGAAATGAATTGTTTCTTAAGGTTTATCCTAAGAATATGTACTCAGCCTTCACTGATTCTGTTGCTATGGTTCATGTCACCATACAACAGATGCTTAATTATCCACTTTTCTGTAGGTTATATTTTTATTACCTCAATTTTGACCAGGTCTAATACAAGATTGATCTAGAGGCAACAGGTGAGGAGTGCTAATGATAATTTCTGTGAAATTATCCCATGCATAAATTCTGTTTGAGTAATGTTTAAGTGAACACTATTGCTCTCAAAAGTCATAAACTTGTTCCTTGACATACTTCTTTATAGAGCACAAATAGGAGTTCCTTGTAGAGGATCTTTGCCACTCTCACACTCCAGGTCTTCCTAATGTCTTCTAAGAATTTACTTTCTTTCTCTGTTAACCATAAGTTAAGAGAAAAAGTGGCTGGTATGGTATCTGGGGATAAATTGCCACATCCCATTTCCTTCTCTATGAGCAGGATTTCCAATTTTCAAGCCTGATGGGATCTCTCAGCTGGAACAAGATCTACAGGTCTTTGATTTGGAAACTAAGAATAGAGAAGTCTTAAGAGATGACTGCTCAGGTGAGTAAGGCAGAATCAATCAGATGGAATTAGTACTGTTGTTGAGCCAAGTTGTAGCTGCTTTGGCAATCAGAATGGAGAGCTCTGTCTGTATCCCAGAATGGAGAGCTATTTCCTTTTCTCTCCAGTTTTTTTTTTTTTTTTAATTGATTTTTAGAGAAAAAGGAAAGGAGACAGCAAAACATCCATGTCAGAGCAAAACATTATCAGCTGCCTCATGCAGACCCCCTACTGGGGATCAATCTGGCAACCTTGGCATGTACCCTGACTGGTGAATGGAACTGGCAACCTTTTGGTGCATGAGATGCCAAACCAACTGAGCCACACTGGCCAGGGCTTCCCTTCAGTTTTGATGAACTCTATGCATTTATTTTGTCCCTAATCATCCACAAGTTGTAGTAGGTCCCTATTCAAGTTGCTTGCCTATAATTCGCTTGAACTATTTTCTCCTTTGAAATACCTTAATTGATTTTCTTACTCTGCTGAAAGTATCTTCTGTTTCTACCACACCCTGAACCATTTAGAACCTACCACACTTTCATTTCATGCCCTTATAGCTGCTGTTGAAATTTTATGCATATGTTTTAGAGTAAATAAACTTCTTTAATCCTGATAGATACTATATTACTTAGCTTTTTCCTCTCTGAGTTTTCTTTTTCTAAGCATAGGGTACAGATTACATTTGCATTTTCTATTTATATATTGCATCAGATGGAGGAACCAGAGAAGAGAACAAGCTGTTGATTCCTAAGCAGAAAATTTCAGAAGTGCATTCATGCAAAATGAGAGTAGGAAGACTCAAAAAGGATGCCGGCCAAGTTCCTGAGACTAGAGAAGTGTATAAACCTGAGGACAGATTAGAAAGGCTTCAGGAAATACTAAGGAAATTTTTATTCCTGGAGAAAGAGTTTAGGCAAATAACAATCAGCAAGAAAACTTTCACCAGTGAAAACAATGAATGTAATGAACCTGAAAAAAGCTTCAGTCTGGAATCTACCCTTGATACAGACCAGAGAGATCTTAGAATACAGAACATTGATGACATTGATAGGTATGACATTAGCCTCAACCAGAATTCAGCTGCTGAGAAACATGAACAAGTAAATCTAACACAGGATTTTCAGAATAGTGAATATAAAGAAAGCTTAATGGATCTTTCCCACCTTAGTAAATGTGAGAGCATTTTCACCACTGAGAAATCCTATAAATGTGATGCATGTGAGAAAATCTTCCATCAGAGCTCAGCTCTTTCTAGACATCAGAGAATTCATACTAAAGAGAAACCCTACAAATGTAAAGAATGTGAAAAATCTTTCAGTCAGAGCTCAAGTCTTAGTCGACATAAAAGAATACATACTAGAGAAAAACCCTATAAATGTGAAGTGTCTGAGAAGTCCTGTGAATTATCTGATAAATCCTCTAGTCAGAGCTCAGGCATAATGAAGCATAAGAGGATTCACACTAAAGCAAAATCTTATAAATGTAGCAATTGTGAAAGAGTATTCAGTCGTAGTGTACACCTTACTCAACATCAGAGAATTCACAGAGAGATGCCCTGTAAGTGTACTGTATGTGGCAGCGACTTCTACCATACCTCATTCCTAGTCGAACATCAGAAGGTTCACTGTGAAGAGAAAGCCTATGAATATGAATGTGGGATGAACTTTACTAAACATCAAGGAGTTAGTCTCAGAGAAAAGCCCTATACATGTACTGAATGTGGAAAAGACTTCAGATTGAATTCCCATCTTATTCAGCATCAAAGAATTCACACAGGAGAGAAACCACATGAATGTAATGAATGTGGGAAAGCTTTCAGTCAAACCTCATGCCTTATTCAGCATCACAAAATTCACAGGAAAGAGAAATCCTCTGAGTATAATGCTTATGAGGAAAGTTTTAATCATAGCTCAGATCTTGTCCTGCAGCGAGAAGTCCTTGCCAGAGAAGAAGCCTTTGATTGTGATGCATGGGAAAAGAACCTCATTCAGAGAGCACAACTTGTTCAACATCAAAGAATTCATACCAAAGAGAAACCTTATGAATGTAATGAACGTGGGAAGACATTTAGCCAAGTTCAGGCCTCATTCAATATCTGAGAGTTCACACCAGGGAAAAATTGTGAGTACTGAATGTGATAAAATCTTCAGTCAGCTCAACCTTTTCATCATCGGAGAATCCACACCAGAGAGAAATTTTCTGAATGTGATGAATGTAGGAAAGCTATTAGTTTTAAACTTTTAATTGATGCCTGCACACCCATACCAGAGAAAACCTACAAATATATTGAATGTGGTAAATGCTTTATGTTATGTTCATAACTTAGTCATCATTGGAGAATTCATACAGGAATAAAAGCCCACTACTGTAAAGAATGTGAAAAAGCCTTCAGTCAAAGAAAATACCTTTTCAGCATCAAATTCATTCCATGCAGAAAGCCTGTGAATGTAATAAATGTGTGTGTGTGTGAAGATTCAGTCATATTTCAATCTTCATTCAACATCAAAGAATCCATACCCAAGAGAAGCCATTGAGTATAGGAGTTCAAGTCTTTTTCATCATATCTACACCAGACCAGAATCTGATACAACACAAATGGAAAAAATTTATTGCCATATTTCAGGCTTCACTCAACATCAAAATATTGAAGGGACAATTGTTGATTATTTGAATATGAAATCATTAATATATAGTCCCGATCTTTTTCATTGCAGAAGAATCTAGCCTGAGGAGTGACATGGTGAATGCAGTACTGTTTTCTCATGGCATTCTTTAATATAATAGGTGTTGTAAGTAACTATGTATACTTTATTTATGGAATTCATTTAAGCTATTTTTATTTTAATGTGGCCTATAAACATTTTTCTTTTTCTTGAAATTGGTATGTATTGTTCTCAGCTTCCCTAAGGTACTGTAATTACACCAATGTTAAAACATATCAGCATCTGGAAGGTAGCTCATTTAGTTTTTTCTGCTGTTCTCCACTCAGGTTCTCTCCAAAACAGACTATTAGGTCTGCTCTTTTCTGAAGACCCTAATTCCTATTTGTTTCTAGCCACAACAACTGGATTCCTGTTGATTTCTCCACTCTCTTAAGCGCCTTCAAATGATGGTTTCCTAGTTTTAAGCTTTTCACCAGCAGGTATGCCATCCCTACTTGATGTCACTGTTCTGGTGTCTTCTTTCCCAAAGTAAAGCATCTTCCTTTAAAAGAATTGGATTTCCACATCCAGTTCACCCATGAGTATGAAAGATTCTGTCTTCCTTGAATTTATGACAGACAGCTAAACAATTTCAAGTGATGCCCAAGTTTTTAGCTGCCTTGTTTTGCATCCACAGCCCACTAACAGAGATGTAAGGACTCTTAATGTTATAGCTACATTCATTCAGCATCTACTCTGCATGTCTAAGTTTAGAAATATTTTATATACTTCCATTGAAGGCCAGCAAAATGCTCGGGCTTGTTTTTGATAGGGCAAAACATAAAGAACATATACTAAAAGACCAGAGAGCTTCATAAGGCAGAGAGCTCAGCCTACCAACAAAGATATTGCTGTTCTTACATAATATCTCCAGAGAGAATATTTCAAGAGAGTTGGTAATTCTGTTCCTGGTAAAATTTTAACCATTAAGATTGTTTTCTTATCTATTTGGATTTCCACCTTCAATATCCCCTCATCAGTCTAGGACAGTATTTGAAGTGTGGGGGCATTTTGTATACTTATTATCACATTTTTTTTTGTATTTTACTAGAGTCTATAGGCCATATACAAGAACATGATTTTCTTGATTGATAAAAGTGATCACAGATGTTGGCTCCAGATTTCAGGATCACCATCATAACACCTAGCAACAGTTTATGATTCTTAGATGATGTCAAAGCACTTTATTATATTTTTCCATCTTAAGTTTCATAATATTTTGTGAATAAGACAAGTGTTATTTAAAATTCTAGTTGTCATTCCAGCAGTTGAGGCCTTCATAGTCCAGAAGTTATAATATTCATGAGGGATCCTCAACAAATATATAAAAATGTATTGCTTGCCCTATAAGCATTTTATGGCTAACCTCTAGGATAGTTCTACCAGTATATTTTACCTCTTAGTCATCAGCAAGCATATGATCTAATCAGGGCAAGGTAGGAATCTAAACGTAAAATCAAATGGAAATGCATGTTTTTTTTCCTCTGTCTCCAGGGATTATGAAACAGAGGATGAAGTAATCCTTAAATACCAGAATGTATAAACATCACTTGTATGCATTTGGTTTAGGAATGTGCTTTTTACTTCCGCTTGAATAAAAGTGTGTTTGATATTCTGCAAATCTGTTTAAAATAAAATCTGAAGGCCTTAGCTGGAAGCATTTGGAAATTTTGGAATCACCTTTCTGGCTGCAACTCAGTTCCTTACAGATACTTACTTCATAGCAAGAGTAGATTGTTCTCCTGTATACTGGTACTTGCTCTTCCACAGAACTCTTGAGGAATAAAGTCTGAATGTTTAGGAATTAAAGGATTATTCAGTTGGTATGGTGTCAGTACATAAAATAAGAGGAAATCATTTGAGGTTTCAGTTAAATTAGGCAGAATGTGTGTGTTTTTTTAGTAAAACACATTTTTAAAAATTAGAAAAAAGTAACTTGCCAGTTTAAGCTTGCTGATATTTAATTGGTCCAATAGAATATGAGTTTGTGTTAATTTTTTTAGTCTTGATGCTGGAGAGGTAAGAGAAGAAATCTAATAGTTGAGGGACCTAATTTTATCTTCTATCTGCCCACCCACCTACATGTACATATATGTATGTGCATATTCAAACTTATTCCTCACAACTCTGCAAGGGAACTAGCTTCATTTTACAGAACTGAGGTATAGGGAGGTTAAAGAACTTGTTAGGATCACATAGCAAGTTCAAAGTCAGGTGTGTTTGACTCCAAAACGTCAAGTTGGTATTAGACACCAACCAGGGACGTTTTCTTTGATTGCTCTTCATTCCTTGTTACACCCCAATGTTTCACTGTTACTAGTTTGCAACTCATCCTAAATGCTCTCAAAGCTCTCTGGGATACTAGGAGAAAATATCCCAATATCTCTTGGTACTAGTTAGAGACCCTTCTCCGCCCCATGAATAGGCTTAGACAATTTTGACTGTGACAGGTCACAGATCAAAGGTCCCAAATTCCTGTCTCCTGTTAAGTCCCCTCCATTCCCATCACTAGATTTACATTTCCATTTTCAATGCCCAAATGTGCTCTTAATTTTTGCTGCTAATTAGAACTTGCTGATGGACATTTATTCTTACCAAGATTTACTGTCACCTCTGGTTACATTATAGCAGTGGAACAAAGCAGTTATTGGGAAAATCAAGTTTGATACCTAGGTTCTGGGTTGAGCAAAAGAGTATCCAGATAGAGGTAGACTTGAAAGATATGTGGTACACTGGAAGAGGAGCAAGGAGAGCATTTCAGACAAGAGAGATGATGTCAGAAGGCCTACAAATGAGAATATGGCATTTTCAGGGCAATATATGAGCTTTCTGGAGAAATGCCTCACGCTAGCAAATAGTATGAAGGTAACTGATGAAGTTGAAGAACGAAAACTTCTAGGGTGTCATCTCAGCAAAGCATAATGGGATTCCCACAACTAGAAATGTAACTACCTGTCCATTCAATAATACATTTGCCAGACACTATGATATTCAGTGCTAGTCAAAGGATACAGTTAACCTAATCAAATGAATGAAACCATCTGCTGAGTAAAAATAAACAGATTAGTTGTCTAAACAATAGCTTCAGAATTAGACATACCTGTGTTTGAATTTTGCTGTTTACTAGCTGTGTGACTTTGGAAATTTTACTAGTCTCTCTAGTTTTCTTGCCTATACAATGTGGCTAATAGCATGAAAATTAAAGAGATAATGTAAAAGGTACTGGTCATATAGTAAGTGCCAAATAGTTATTAATATAAATACTATTATAAAAACCAGTAAAAATAGAAGACAGATGTTTAGATAGAAGATGGAATTAATGACCAAGCATTTAACAGTGTAGGACTGGCATTGTCCAGGATGGGATGCCCTGGGTTTGGAGAACTTAAATATGACTAGAGAAAACATCAGGCATCCTTGTCTGTGGTAGGAACTGCCTCCTGACAGGCACTCCCTGTTGGAGTCAGCAAGCTGACATCTGTCTTGTCTAAAATTCATATGAGTTCACATTTTCAAAATACAAGTGCATAAAGGAACTATTGTTTAATCCAAGACTGTAAGAATGATTTCAATAAGAAATCAGATGGTACCCTGTATAAGTCAACAAGAAAATAATGCTGGAATTTTTTTATTTTGTTGATGCATCCTATTCACTCCACTTATAGAAAATGGTTAACCTCTTGTATTTGTATTTCATTCATGTTTATAAATTTACAACTTGGACATAACTACAAGTGTCTTGTCTTTTTTCTTTTCGGCGGTTGCTCATATTACAAATCTTCACCCAGTCTTTCTTCATTGTCCTTCCCATGTGCAGTTAGACACTAGCCAGGGGTGGGCAAACTTTTTGACTCGAGGGCCACAATGGGTTCTTAAACTGGACCGGAGGGCCGGAACAAAAGAATGGATGGAGTGTTTGTGTGAACTAATATAAATTCAAAGTAAACATCATTACATAAAAGGGTATGGTCTTTTTTTTTTTTTAGTTTTATTCATTTCAAACGGGCCGGATCCTGCCCACGGGCCGTAGTTTGCCCACGGCTGCACTAGGCTCTGATTTGAGCAGACCAGGGTTCAAATGCTGCCTCCTTGCTTACTAACTGCAGCTTCTGGCATGAAGATAGTAAAAATTACCAGCTTCATCAGATTGTTGTGAGGATTAATGAGATGATATCAGTTTAAATGCCCCACAATTGGTAGCTGTTATTTCTGAGTTTAGCAGGAATCTACCCTTATCATAACTCATTTCCTTAATCCCTTTTCCTGCTTCAACATATCAAATGTGCCACAGGCAAATCTGTAGTGCAGGCGCAGTAGGGTCTTTGGACCTCTCTAAGGTTTTTCTTCCTCATATTGGTATTGGTACCAGCATGCTCCTCCTGTTTGTTTATATACTCCATGCAAAACTGGTAGGGACTGGGTTGAAGGGACAAAGGGAAAGGAGGACTGAGGGCCTTCATAACCTGAGTTTGGGCTCAGCAGGTCATCTGATCTGTAATTTTGAAGGAGGAGGTGAGATGGGTGGTAAAACTGCAGGAGTCAAGCGGAGGAGGCAAATGGGGTACATACAGGGTCAGAGGGGATGAAGAAGGAAACAAATTTAGATCCTTGGTCCACTTAGTGATATAGAGGGCAAATAGAGAAATCTGTTCCAACCTCCTCCAATCCTTCCTGGGGGAAGGACAAGCACCAATTTAAGGTCTCCACCCCCACGTGGTTCTGGACCCAGCTCCCCAGCAGCCTCTAGAGAACCCCCGATCAAGATTAGACCAGATTAGACCTTTGAACTGCCTAGATGGGACCCAGAAGTGCATGCCAAGGACCCATGTTTCCAGGCTTCTGAGTGAGTGTAGGGGATCAGCAACCCAGGGAGCAGAGTGGGGCAGCCTGTGACAGGCTCAGACTGCAGTGGTGGACTAGGGCTGTGCGGGAGGGGCGCGGTGTGGGGGGGTGACTCACAGGGAATTGGGTTGGGGCTGCAGGCCACCTGCGGTGCTGCCAGCCTGGTGGCCATCTCACAGCAAGACCCAGATGACCTGGAGAGAGAATGAAGCTTCTCAGACCTTTTCCTGGTCTGAGAGTCTCCTGGGAAAAGTTGACCCACCGTTTCCCTATACTTGACCCCTCCTACCCTTTCCTGAAGTGACTGCTCATCCCCTGTGTCCTGTTCTGAAGAATTTTTAGAGATGATCTTGGCCTTGGAGCAGCACCAGGGATTGGACAGAGCCCTTGGAGAAGCTTCCTGAGCAGATGTCCCCTGAGTCTCTGTTTCCATCCCCTGAGCAATAGCCTAAAAAGCGCAAGAGTGAGGAGCTAACCTAACTGGTTTTCTTTCTCTAAACTTTGTCCTTTTTAAAAATATATATTTTATTGATTTTAGAGAGGAAGGGAGAGGGGGAGAGAGAGAAACATCAATGATGAGAGAGAATCATTGATCAGCTGCCTCCTGCATGCCCGCTACCGGGGATCGAGCCCGCAACCCAGGCATGTGCCCTTGGCCAGAATCGAACCTGGGACCCTTCAGTCCGCAAGCCAATGCTCTATCCACTGAGCCAAACCAGCTAGGGCTAAACTTTGTCCTTCTAACCATGGCTTCACATCAGATGGACATGATTAACCTTACACTTAGGGTTCTGGTATTTATTTATCAAGACTACTGATATTTATTTATTTATTTATTTATTTATTTATTTCCTAAAGCTCTATTACATGTAAACAAAGCCTATAACCAATGTTTCCTCTCTATGTCGAGCAAACCTGCAGGAGCACTATCATAGCACTAAGTCTTGAAGAGCTATCATTCCAGCACCTGCTAACTTGCTTTGTCTTTGGAGAAGCTCAGTGAATGTTGTGTGGGTAAATAAGTGAATGAACCCAGCAAAATATGTCCCATACCCCAAGTACCAGGAAAAGAGCTCTCCTTCACCTTTAGGGAAGATACATTTTCCACTCAAGGTATAAACTGCAAGAGGGTGCCTGCCTATGTAATACAATAGACAAGCTAGCCACCTGCTGATGGAAGATGAAGTTAAACTATAAATATCTGTATTTTAATTTCAATCTTCCATCTCACTATTATCTGGTATATATGTCTGGCTATTAAAAAAGGTGGACTTGATTATTTAATTGGAGGACAAAGGCTTAGATATTGCACATCATGGACTTTGAGATGGCTTATGTTTGGAGAGATTTTCTTTCACACATACAGTGTTCTAATGGTGTTTTTAGGGTAATATTTCATTCAGCAAGTATTTACTGAATTATTATTTATGAGGTGTTGAAACTAAGTTGAAAATAAACCCACCTAACCCCTACCCACCCCCGAGCTTAGAGTTGAGTTGGAATACTTAACTGTGAGAGGTCATAGACCAATAAATAATGTAGAAGTTTACAAGAGGAGATCCCTGTGAACTAGTGTGAGTCCAGGAAGCCTTAGAAAGTCTTGAGTTTGTCCTTGAAAGAATTTAGAGCAGTGCTTCTCAACCTGTAGGTCGTGACCCCTTTGGGGGTCGAACAACCCTTTCACAGGGGTCACCTAAGACCATTGGAAAACGCATATATAATTACATATTGTTTTTGTGATTAATCACTATGCTTTAATTATGTTCAATTTGTAACAATGAAAATACATCCTGCATATCAGATATTTACATTACGATTCGTAACAGTAGCAAAATTAGTTATGAAGTAGCAACGAAAATAATTTTATGGTTGGGGTCACCACAACATGAAGAACTGTATTAAAGGGTCATGGCATTAGGAAGGTTGAGAACTACTGATTTAGAATAAGAAAGGAGTCGTGTTTTAGGTGAGAGAAGATAGAATAGACCCTTACCGTAGGTTCCTTGCTGCTAGTTTTTATAAGAGGTCAAGTACCCATATTCATATCCCTAAAATACTAAATTATTCATAGTTTTAGTCTATATTTCATAAGCTGGCAATGAGTCCTCCACAGTGGCCTCCACCCAACTTAAAAGTTTTACCTCAGTGTTCCCCCAAGACAAACCCAGCAAGAATGGCGTGTCTGCACAAGGTAATGCAGGAGTCACTGTACTACCCACTGTTGTGCATTTGTGTCCTTTTACTCACATGCATTGCTGTTTCCTACATTCTCTGCCTATCAAACCCTACATGTCTCAAGATCCCATGTGTGAAGACTCAGTGCAGGACAGCCTCTTTCATGAAGCTTTTGAAAAGACCTGGACTACGAAGAAGGAAACAGATGCAAGAGACATTTACATGGAAACTTGCCAGACTTGGTGGCTAGTTGAGCAGTAGAGGGATGTGGGCTACAGCTGCCTTTGTTCCCTTCACTGTTATATCTCTTTCAAAAAAAATCTTCACCAGTTGCTAATATCTTTGTAATTGCCATTCACTTCTCAACACAGCACACTGTTTCTGTTTCATCAAAACTGGTTATATCTAGCCCAGGCTGATGTTTCCCAGTGGTTAGAGCATTGGCCTGCACACCTATCAAAGGCACATACCTGGGTTACAGGTTTGATCCCTGGCCCTGGTTGGGGTAGGTGTGTGAAGCACTGTTGGTGGTAAATTGGTATGGTCATTATGGAAAATGGTATGAAGGTTCCTCAGAAAATTAAAAAGACAAGTACCATACAATCCAGCAATTCCACTCTGGGGAAACAAAATCATTACCTTAAAAAGATATTTGCACCCCCATGTTCACTGCAGCATTATTTACAATAGCCAAGACATGGAAATGACCTACGCTAAAGAAAATGTGGTATACATAAAAAGGGGACATCTGTAATACTTTCAACAATAAAGATAAATTTTGCCCAGCTCAGTGGTTGGTTGTTGACCTATGAACTAAAAGGTCATGTGTTCAATTCCTGGTCAGGGCACATGCCCAGGTTGCAGGCTCGATCCCTGGACTTGCAGGAGGCAGCCGATCAATGATTCTCGCTCATCATTGATGTTTCTGTCTCTCTCTCCCTCTCCTTTCCTCTCGGAAATCAATAAAAATATTTTTTTAAAAACCAATAAAGATAAATTTTTAAAATGTGGTATACATATACAATGAATTATCACTCAGCCATAAAAAAAGGAAATCCTGCTACTTGAGGGCATTATGCTAAGTGAAATAAGTCAGACAGAGAAAGATAAATAATGTATGATCTCACTTATATGTGGAATCTAAAAAATCAAAACTCATAGATATAAGAACAGATTGGTGGTTGCCAGAGGTGAGGGTGGTGGTTGTGGGAATTGGGATAAAGGTGGTCAAAAGGAACAAACTTCCAGTTATAAGGGAAATAAGTCCTGGGGACATAGTGTGCAACATGGTGATTATAGTTAACAATACCATATTGTATATTTGAAAATTGCTAAGAGGGTAGATCTTAAAAGTTCTCATCACAAGAAAAAAATGTGTAGCCCTCCCCCTTCCAGTATCCAGATTGCATGCACAGAGGAAGAGGGGATATCTGGAGGTGGAGAATAAATGTAAATATGGTTCTGTGATGATATCACAAATAATTGTTAAATTCCTTAAAGGCAGTGACCATTACCTAATAAAGTCAGGGCTGCATAAGTTTTAGGCTTCCACTGATGATGGAAATGCTGCATTGGAAATTCCTCAGCACCATCTTCTTCCAGAAAGATCCCTCTAAGCCAGGGGTGGGCAAACTTTTTGACTCGAGGGCCACAATGGGTTCTTAAACTGGACCGGAGAGCCGGAACAAAAGCATGGATGGAGTGTTTGTGT